CTCCTTCCATTGTCATTCCCACAGGCACTAAGCGCAGAGCTCAGAGTCCACTGGAGAGGCGGCTGCACACGACCAGCATGGACAGGCCTAAGATGGGGTCCAAGCCCTGTGAATTCAATCTCCAAGAGTTGGACTTCACTTTGACATTGTTCTATCTTCAAGGCTCTATCTTATATTCCCTAATTTCATTCTTCTGCCCTTCATTGCATTCTAGAGCTTGTGCCTTCTGCTCCATTTCTAAGTCATATTAGCCCCCTTTGACTTCGAATCTCTGAAAAGTTTTTAGTTCCCTATTTTCAGGGGCCTAATGACAGGTTCCCATTTTTCCTTGCCACTCTTCACTATTTATAGTTTCTTTACCAACTGAGCTATTAGGGCTTCCCTGGAGGCTCAGTTGGTAAAGAATATCTGCATAACTGTCTATAAATTTGGAATTAGCAATCTGTCTGTGAGCAGGACCAGCCAGAAGCAGCTTCTATGATGAAAACAGAAGCATATCTGTCTGATTTGCTTCTAAATGGAGCTTTCACTCTTCTTGCGCTAGTCAACATGGCCAGTATTAGGTTCAGTTTCTAAGTGAGAATTCCAGGCAGAAACTAATGGCTACTATCACAGCTGGCCATTGAGGTACTTAATGGGAGAGGCAATCCTAGCTCTACCAAGTAGTAGCCATCGAGAAATCAGCTGTTGTCATTGTAGCCATGTTCCTTCAATTTGTAGTGTTATTTGCTGTGTTATTCAAGAATATGCCTTCACCCTGTCAGTAACACATATTTCCATAACACATAGCGATGCACTGAACTGACGTGCATCCTCCAGTAAAGCCCAGCCCTGATGTCTTATAGGAGCCTCTCCGGCCATTTTCATAAGTGAGTCTAATTTTGTGTGAGACCATGAAAACTCGGTGATTTTAGTATGCTTGTGCTTATGATGGGAGGTCTGAGAAGGCACTTCTGAAGGTTTATTCCTACCAGTCGTTCTCATTTTTATCGAGGCTTTAAAGGTTTCATCACTGAGGTAATGCTTCTACACTTGTACTAGGCTGAGTAGCAACATGCCCTTTCTCCCTAAGTGCAGTGGAAGTCATCCCCACTTCCCAACATGTCTGTCTTCTGTCCTCTGGAGAATGTATTGCTTGAGCTCACCACAGCCTGGTAGATACAAATCATCAGGATATTCTAGAAACCCTTTTGCTTGTAGTCTGTTCAGGAGGTTACAAGTGCTTCAAACCTCAGGATTTTACAAAGCACTTTTTACAACCTCAGATGAAGGAGAAGTCAACACTCATGACAGTCACAGGTTTCCATGGCCTGTACTTGATCATGGGCTGTGCTTTCATAATCATCCTGTTTCTATACCAACCAAGATGTCACTGTTTTTTTTTTATCATCATTGTATCTTTGATGTTTTTTAGATATATTATGGATTTTCTTATATATCTTCACTTTCTGATGAGGGTCTTATGATAGTATTAGTTACTAAAACTGACTTCCAGTCAGTAGGCTGTGGTAGAATAGGAAAAAGAATGATCAACTCTGTATTATTAACATTATGTATTAAAATATTATTAGTTTTATTGTTCATAGTCATCCAATTCTAACTTTTTGAGATAAACATTCAGAAAAATCATGTCCTTGTGAAAGTCCATTGGACTGTAGGGGAGCATGGCAATGTGATTCCGTAAAATAGTTTAGTTTCAGGATGGCACCAGATGCTATTCATAGATAGTCAAAAATATCTTTCATTTCTGTGTAAGAGGAAGGTTCTGTCAAGTAGTGAATGTTTTAGAACCTTCATTTATTCAGAAATGACCTAGCTATTCAATACACTGTCACCACTCAGTATAGCACAAGGATAGAAACTCAGGTGAACAAAATCCAGAGAAGCTATTGTCAGTTCAGTTCAGTTCAGTTGCTCAGTCATGTCTGACTCTTTGTGACCCAGTGGACTGCAGGACGCCAGTCTTCCCTGTCCATCACCATCTCCAGGGGCTTGCTCAAACTCATGTCCATTGAGTCAGTGATGCCATCCAGCCATCTTATCCTCTGTCATCCCCTTCTCCTCTGCCCTCAATTGAGACTATTATAGACAGGGATTTTAGAGTATAATTATTGTTAATGGTTTATCCAAAAGCTCATATCACATTTGCAATTTTTAGGAGTTTTCTTTGTTATTGTTTTAGAGGTAATTTCTTTGTTGACAAGCTTGTGACAGATATAATAATATAGCAATTTTTAACTTATAATAAACCTAGGCACAATGACAATTTTGGGCTTCATGTTAATGACTCTTAGTCATGTCTATAGAAGAGTAGCAGGAAAAAAATACTAGATATTTAATATTGAGTATTTTCCAGTTCCCGTGAATCTGAAATTCATTTAGGTCAATTTTTTCTTGTAGTTAGAGCTGTTTGATTTGTAAGGGCTTCCTTTTCTTTTGACCATTTCAATAAGAACTCACAACTTCAGCAATATTATGAAAAAACAGAAGACTCACATGGAGATATACATAAATGCAGACAGACAGAGATGTTCTAGTTTTCTGCCTGAGATTTAAAATGTGCCATTGAGCCCCCTTTTTGGAGGGGGTTGGGTTGGGCAAGAATAACAGAGTAGGTTGCCATTCTCTTCTCCAGGAGATTTTCCTGAGCCAGGGATCGAACCCAGATCTCCCACACTGTAGGTGGAAAGCTTTACCGCCTGAGTTGCCAGGGAAGTCTCCCAAGGCCCTGGAAAGGGTTCCCTTCATGCGTTGCCCTAGGTAGGCCTTTGTAAGAAGCAATTGTTTTGAATAATTGCATATGCAAAAGAACCAGCTTTACAGTTTCATTGTAACCAAATGGCTCATGTTCTATAGAATATCATGGCCCTCCTAGGTCAGGTCATCTTTCCTTTCTTTAGTCAGTTTGATCCCTAAATTATAGACAGATGAGCGGATAAATAGCTTGGATTGTCTCTGTGGGGTGGATCTGCTAGTGTTTCAGGTGTTTGACCTGGCGGCAGTAGCGAGGCCCATGGGCCTGTCCTGGGAGTGGGTGTGCAGGTGGGAGGCACCGAGAGCCCGTCAGGGGCGGGTACTCCCCGGCCGGTGCCCCTGGGGAGGGACCGCACCTGCGAGTTCGCCAGGGGTGGGGTGCACCCAGAAGCGAGAGCAGGAGCACGTCTGGGGGCAGGAGGGTGAGGGAAATGGAGAGAACTGCTCTGCCAGAGGGAAACGGAGGGAAGCTCACAGTCTCAGTGTTTATGGTCATTGGGTTCCTTTCTGGCTTGTCTCTTGTCAGTCATTCTGAATTTGCATCCTTCCTGGGGGCACAAGCACCACTCAGCTGAGATGGATTCCAGTGACCAGGATCCTGGGAAGTTGGTAGGACCTCTGGGCTGGAGTCTCCCATTTCTTTTTGTCCTCTCCAGAATCTTGGTTGCTGGTAGCTTGTGAGTTCCTTGATCCTGACCAGGACCTCCTGTTGGAAGATGACTCCTACAAGTTTTTTCTCTTCTCTGTTGCCTGGCAAGGGTGGGTGGTCAGTGGTTCATTGAACAGTTTGTCTTTTGGTTCTCTCAAATAAGGTCCTTCACAGGGTAAATGTATCAAATTGTAAAAGTCAATGTTTTAAATAATTTATATTCACAAGTTGGTAAGTTGGCTTTTTGTGTGTGTGTTAGAAGTCAGCACCAGATCAAAGGTCATGTAGATTTTTGTTGTTTTTCTAACATTTTTATAGTCTTTTTTTTTTTTTGTATTTAAATTACGGTGTGAGTTGCACAGTTTGTGTTTCTCTTCATTTCATTCCATCTGTTTGGTTTTCTTTCTTTCTTTTCTTTTTTATAACGATTATTCATTTTTAGTTGATTGATCATTGCTTTACAGTATTGGTTTGATTGGTCATACATCAACATGAATTAAGCATAGGGGTACGTGTGGCCCCTCGCTCTTGAATCTCCCTCCCATGTCCCACCCATTCCCACCTCTCTAGGCTATCAGAGAGCCCCAGTTTGAGTTCCCTGAGTCAGACATCAAATTCCCACTGGTTGTCTAGTTACCAAGGTTGGTGTCCTGCATCCGTGCTGCTCTCCCTGTTCATCTCACCCTCTCCCTCTCGTTCCCCACCCTTGTCCGCAAGTCTGTTCTCCATGTCTGCATCTCCAATGCTGCTACGTGAACAGATTTGTCAGGTCCCTCCTTCTAGAGTCCAGGTTTTCCTCTTTCTGACCGACTTCCCTGTTTCATACGCTCTAGGTTCATCCACTTCATGAGAAGTGCCTCAAATGTGATCCTTTTTATGGCCGCATTCCATGCAGGCTCTGACTGCTCCTTACCGTGTTTTGAGGAGGGTCGTGGAGCTATTCGGCTCCATTTGGGTTTGGGCTTCCAGTCTGAGCGCTCGCCACAGAGCTGCTTCTGGGTGAGCCCTCTGGGCTGTGTGAGCGCGGGGCTGCCCGCTCTTTTCCGGCGGCCCGCAGGGGGCGCCAAAGCCCCCTCTGACCCGTGGGTGCAGGACGCTTTGCCTTCAGACTGAGATCGGTTACCAGCTGGAGGGAGGTTTCTCTCCTCAGGGCCATCAGGGCTCCGGCTTCTGAATAACGGGGCTGCATCCAGGCTGAGAGGAGCGGACTTGCCTCAGTGCCCCCAGCAGGGAGGCGCTGCAGGAGGGAAAAATGAGGACAAAGTAGACGTTTCCTGTGTCCAGCTGAGCGCTGGCCGGAGAGGGAGGGGCAGGGTGGGGGGGAGGGGGGAGAGCTCCATGTGCAAAATGGTGGGTTTTCAGTTAGATTTCTTTTAGATGATCTAGAGGATGACCAGTGATGTTCTTCAGTGCAGGTGGCCAGTTTTCCTGTCACTGTTTCTTGAGAAGACTGTCCTTTCCTCTTCGCTCATTCCCGCTTTGATGTTCATGAACTGACCACATACACGTGGGTTCACTCCTGGACTCTCTCTCTAGGCCTTCCTCGAGTCCACGTGTCTGTGTTCATGCCAGTTCCTCACTGTGGTGCTTCATACCCCTCCGTGATGTAGTTTGAAGTCGGAGAGGAAGATGCATCCAGCTGTGTTCTTCTTTCTCAGAGTCTTTTTGGCTGTTTAAGGTCCTGTTCAATATTAGCAGCCTAATATTAGGACTATTTCTATTTCTGTGAAAAATAGCACGGAATATCATTTTGTGATTGCAGTCAATGTATTTGTTGATGGCTTTGGTTGGAATGGACATTTTAATTCCTCATTGTTCCAGTGCATGAGCGTGGAATAGCTTTCTGTTTCTTTGTGTTTTCTTTGGTTTCTTTATCAGTGCTTTCGAGTTTTCTGACTACTGGTCTTTTATGTCCTTGGTTAAGTGTGTTGCTAGTGTTTTTATTCTTTTTGATGCAATTATAAGTGGGATTTTCTTAATTTTTGTTTCTGATTGTTATTAGTGTATAGAAACACAACTGATTTTTGTATATTGATTGGGATTGTAAATTGTAGTATTTTATATGATTGTAAATTGATCTGAAATGATTCAGTTTTACTGAATGTAGTTGAAAACCTTTTTGTGAAGTCATGTGGAAATTTTTATTTGTAAAATCTGTTTCTCCTGCAATAGGTCATCCGGAGGACTCAAGACATGGTGGTTACTAATAGACTTCCCACAGTCCTTCTTCATTCCATGTGGACTCCTTCAAGGGCGGTGAGCATCACAGCTTCCCTTGAACTTCGTCTGGGTAAGTCCTGGCCTCTATGAGAAAGTTTCATGCCTGTCTAATCTGATTTTCTTTTATGGTATTGACATAGTTGTTTTGAAACATAATTTACTTTCTGGTAATTTAAGACGTACAGACAACTAGCAATGGGAAAAAGTGTTGGTGTTTGCCACATCATCTAAAATATTCTATGTGTTTTATCCAAAATGGGTGCATTCTCCTGCAGAACCAGCACATAGCCTCCAAAATCAGGAAATCATATGGTTTATACATTATAATGTAATCCACAACCCCACTTCCCTTTCAGCAATTGTTCAAGTGTATGAATATATCTTTTCTTCCCATCCTTCTCCTTATCCCCACCCCCACCATTTTTTAATTTTTCTTTTTTCTTTTTTGTAGAGTGTTACTGAGATGTTCAGTTATTTGGACAAACCTGATGGATTTAAAGCAGACATGGTGAATATGGGATCTGGGTGGCCTTTTCTATATGGATTGTTTTCACTAAAGATGGTTTTCATGTTTATTCATGTTGTAACATGTATGAATGCTGTATTCTCTTTTTCCCCCATAGTAGTTAAAAATAAATAACATGCCATTTACCATGTAGATATATGTAAGCATACAGTGCTGTAGCATGAACTACATTTACTTGGTTTGCAAAGCAGTTCAATAATGTGTACCTTGTGCATGCTTTTGGAGAAGGCAATAGCACCCCACTCCAGTACACTTGCCTGGAAAATCCCATGGATGGAGGAGCCTGGTAGGCTGCAGTCCATGGGGTCACGAAGAATCAGACATGACTGAGCGACTCACTTTCACTTTTGACTTTTATGCATTGGAGAAGGAAATGGGAACCCATTCCAGTGTCCTTGCCTGGAGAATCCCAGAGATGGGGTCGCACAGAGTTGGACACGACCCAAGTGACTTAGCAGTAGCAGTGTGCATGCTTTGAAGAAACTCAGGAAACTGAGTCAGTGACTGAAATGGCCCAAGATAACACCTTAGATAGCATCTTCATCTAAAAACAAAACAGGGGCTTCCTGGTAGTCCAGTGGCTAAGACTGGACACTCCAAAAAAAGGAGGCCCCTGTTCAATCCCTGATCCAAAAACTAGATCTCCCATGCCACAACGAAGGGTTTGCATGCTGTAGCTAAAAATCTGGCTTGCATCAACGAAGGTCGGCCTGGCACAGCCAAATAAAAAAACAAATAAATATTTTAAAAATGAAACCAAAGGAAAGGAAGGGTATGGTTGTTGTACAGACTTACCTCTTAGCTCTCCCTATGGATAAAACACAGACTTCCACAAGACTGTCATCCTTCAATCTGGTAGATACCGAGGATTCCTTTGAAATGAGATTTCTCTTGTAAATGTGACTCACAGAAGAGCCGTCTTGAACTTGGGTTTCAGAGATGATCATGTGTGCTCTTAAAAAGAAAAAAAGTTAGTTAGGTCCAACTAATTCTCATGCTGAAGAGGTATATTTTGGGGTAGCGTTTGCTCCCCTTCACTTTGGATGTATCCCAATTTGCATCCACAGTCATCTACCGAAGATATCCTGATATATGAAAGTTTTTAGCTGTTACAAGTAGAGCTGCTGTGTGTAATTGTGTGATAGGTTGTCTGGACACTTTTTCAAAGTTGTTTTCTAAGTGCTAGACGTGTAGTGTTCACAGCAAAGGTGAGCCTTGTTTAGCTGCGGAAAAATCCAGCTAAGTTTCTCTGACATGTGGGATCTTCCTGGGTAAGGGATCGAACTTGAGTGTCTTGCACTGTCAGGTAGATTCTTTACCATTGAGAGAAGCCCCGCCCCCCCCTTCTTTCTTTTTTTTTTTTTGAGTTTAATGAATCTAATAGGTGTGCAGTGCTACTTCACTATTGTTTTAGTTTGTAATTTCCTATTGATATATGATTTTGAATATTTTTGTTATGCTTATTTACTATCTGTATATTTTCTTTGGCCAGGTGTTCAGATTTATACATTTTAATGAGGTTGTTTGTTCCAGATTTTTTGGTATAATTGGAGCACAATCCTTTGTCAAATATGTATTTTGTAAATATATTTGTTCTGTGGCTTGTGTTTAAGTTTTGTGAATAAGGTTTTTCACAGTTTAACTTCATAATTTTTTAAAGTTCATGTTATAAATCTTATATCCTTTTTGGGATAGGCTTTAGCATTTTTTGCTTGTTTGTTTGTTAAATTTCATAAGCAAAACTGAAGTACCCTAGATAGAGTTTTAAGCAAAGCTGAGGTACCATAGATACAGTTTTGCCTTTTGTCTGTTGAGAAGTTTGAGTGAGGTTGGTGTCAATTGTAAAATCATGTCTACATTCATTTGATTGGATATGGCTTCCAATTATTTGTATAATTGGTTTTGGAGATGTCATGGGAAGTCAGTTTCCCCAAGGGAAGCTGGGTGGGTTCCATGAAACATGAACTGTCTTCAATCCCTGGGAATCACTTTCTGCTTTTTCTGGCTTTTGATTTGACTTGTTTGGATATCTCGTACTAGTGGAATCACAGAACGTTTGTCCTGGTTTGGTCTGGATTATATTACTTAATATAATGACCCTAAGGTTCCACATTGTAGCAATGTCCGAATTACTATCTTTGAAGGGCCGAATCATATTCCATTGTGTGTATACCACAGTTTGTTTATGGAATTGGCTGTCCATGGACACCTGTATTGCTTCTGTTTGTTGGCCAGTGTGAATCATGCTGTTGTGAATATGACTGCAGAAATATGCATTTTTTTCAGCCCCCTTTTCCAAACCTTTTGGGTACATAGCGTGAATTAGACTTGAAGTATATATTTATTCCACTTGGTAGTTTTGGATTAATTTCTGTAATGTCTTGCACAGTGGCCAAGACATTATTTTATTTTTTTTATTTTTATATGGTAGAAGACTGTTCAAACTTTTGAATCTACCCTGTACTGCATATTCATTCACCCACTGATGGACACTTGCATGGGTTCTACCTTTGGGCTATTGTGAATAATGTCACTGTGAATATTTGTGTACTAGTTTTTGTTTGAATTATTAACAAATACATAGTACTATATATGAAATAAACCCCAAGGACCTACTGTATAGTTTAGGAAACTGTATTGAATATCTTATGAGAATGTATAATGGAACAGAATTTCAAAAGGAATATATGAAAAATACATAATACCATGATCATTATTGTGTCAACACTATGAGTTGTCGTAGCACTAGTCAACATGCATTTATACGCACCACTAAAATATTCACATCTGTAAATATATTTCACTGCTCAATTATATAAAAATAGAGAATTCAAACAGAGAATAAATAAACTTCCTGTCATTGCTCATGATCATTTATACACTCTGACTACACTCGTTGTCTAAGTACTGGACTAAGAATTTACATTCTTGTAAACCAAGCAATTGTGAAGGTGTAAGGAAGTATACCTTATCTAATTCCTTAAGGAAGGATGCTAGAACTCTGTGTATGTGAAGTGAATGAAAGTCAAACAGTTTAATGGAGTCACACTCTTACTAGAGGGATGAGCTTCCACCCCATCCAATGTTAGCTCACAATTCATTCCTGCAGTCATCTGGCCTCAGTGTCTGCTTCCTGCCATCCAGAAAGAAAAGGTGAGGAAGTCCTGACAGAATTGTTGCTATTTTTCTTTTATTGATTTGTATTTTATCGCAGGGCTTGGCAAAAAGAGGGCCTAAGCTGTCTTTAGAGTTCCATCCCAAGGCTTGCTTTGGCATGTTACATATGTTGGCAAACTGCTGATTATTTCCAACAAAGGACAATGATCTGCACTTCACTGTCTGTTTCTTGAGCTGGAATAGTAGGCATCCCTTTAAGTTCAGTCCTTCATGCTGAAGTAGGCATACCTGAAGCGGTAGCATAAGATGAGCACATTTATCATGTAGACCTTGCATCCCATGAATTTGTAAGAATTTTTCAGGTATACCCACCATCATTGGAGGAACTGACTTGTCCCAGTAATATAACTGGAGTACCCCGCCTAACAGTTCCTTGACTAAATAATACACTTACGAGCACTTCTTTCAGTCTTCTTTCTCCTACTTCGGTCATGAACAGGAGAAGTTGATGGCAGTGGTTCTTGGAATGTATATTGATTCCTAGGTGGCACAGTCGGTAAATAATCTGCCTACCAGTGCAGGAGATGGAAGTGATGTGGTTCTGATCCCTGGGTCGGGAATATAACAATTCATACACTCGTTTTATGTAAACAAGTTTTATATTCACGAGTTTTTTTCTTCTGTATACAGAATATACAGTAGGACTATAAGAAAGCTGAGCGCAGAAGAATGGATGCTTTTGAACTGTGGTGCTGGAGAAGACTCTTGAGAGTCCCTTAGACTGCGAGGAAATGCAATCAGTCCATCCAAAAGGAAATCAGTTCTGGGTGTTCATTGGAGAAACTGATGTTGAAGCTGAAACTCCAACATTTTGGCCACCTGATGCAAAGAGCTGACTCATTGGAAAAGACCCTGATGTTGGGAGAGATTGAAGGCAGGAGGAGAAGCAGATGACAGAGGATGAGACGGTTAGATGGCATCACTGACTCAGTGGACACGAGTTTGGGTAAACTCTGGGAGTTGGTGATGGTCAGGGAGGCCTGGTGTGCTGCTGTTGATGGGGTCGCAAAGAGTCAGACACGACTGAGCGGCTGAACTCAACTGAACTGAACAGAGAAACGAATGCTGTTCAAGGACACTGAGAGAACCCTCATGTTGAAAATCAAATCTGTGTTGTGAGTGATGCTTAGAAGTCGATGAGTTGAAGCACAGTATTATGCCTATCACCCTTGTAGTTCCCTCAGTGAGATAGGTTGAGAAAAGCTCTTTATTCATGGTATAGATTCATGAAGAAGCTAAATAACAATAATCCTTTATGTTGACAACTGTGAATTTAAATCTCCTGTAAATCCTAGGTGACAACCACACATACCAACATGATTTATCAGTATTATATCAATCTTTTAGTCCTATTGTATTTCAACTAAAAATATCAATATACAATTGTACATGAAGTCAAGACTTCAAATCAGGGCAAATGCAAAATATTCCATCCTTCAAGAAAGCAAGCGAAACCTCTATGTGCTTTGCCTATTGCATTTTTATGTATTAGATCCTTAAGTATTTTACTCACTACACCCAACTGAATGATTTCCAAATGTTTCAGAGAGGAAAGGATGATTCCTCTTTAACAACAAGGGGCTCAACTCCTCTCAAAGCAAATACCAGATGGTAAGAACTATGCAGGACGAAGTTGATTATTCATATTTATATTATTCACTCATTAGCTTGACAAAGGGACTAGATCTGTTACCACATTTTTTTTTTTTTTTTTTTTTTTAGTAATATCGGCATGTGAACGTGAAAGTGGCTCAGTTCATGCCTGACTCTTTGTGGTCGCATGGACTATACAGTCCATGGAATTCTCTAGGCCAGAATCCTGGAGTGGGTAATCTATCCATTCTCCAGGGGATCTTCCCGACCCAGGACTCA